CACCACAGCAAAAAAAAAAAAACCCATAATAATCATAAAAAAAAAAAAAAAAAAAAAAAAAAAAAAATCACTGTTGACAAAGATACCTATTGCAATATCCGTTTTATTATATTTCAATAAATTTGTGTTCCGTGAGTCAACCTTCAATGATTCAATGATTGTACATTGTCTTTTCATTGTTTGTACTTTTTTTTATTTTACTTAAATCACACATGCAAATCCACTTTTCATAATATACAATAGAATCCATCCTTTAGCACACCCTATAAGCAACATTTGTGAAACATGGGGAAATAAGCCTATCTGTATATTATTTAACATTCTGTTCTGACCAACCTCTATCAGTAGGATACCCATAACAAGGGGACTGGGACAATTTCTGTGTGTACAGTGTGTTCAAGTCAACACATTTCCACATAAATGGAATACTATTTATAAATTGTATCAAAACAACTAAAAAATATTATTTCCTTCAAATTTACATTTTGATAACTTTTGAGCCAACAAGTTAATTTGTGTAAAGCAAACTTGTCAATTTTGACCCTTATCATGGTATTTAGTTTTTCTTTTCTCCTATGTACAGTAATCTGCATCCTAAGAGCCTATTCATTTTTGCAGTATCTTGCACATCCAGAACCACAAAACAGAATAATATTTGGCCATTACCTAATAGCACTTCAATTATGAAACAATACTGTTTCTGTTTAATTTACGCTTATGTTGATTGCATAAACAAATGTATTGTACAGTATTTGCATTGCAATTATGGTCATAATTCTGACGCCCAACCGAACCTGCTGTCAGTTATCGCTTAATACTTTGCAGTGTTTTAAATTTTCATAAAATTATCACTATAAACGACGAGTGGTTGAAGTAATAAATTAATTATAAATAAGAGATTATAATTAAATTTGCATTGTTGCAAATTTAAATATTTCTGCAAATTAAACTATGTTTTTAAAATTACTATCAAATTTTGATGTACGGTATGCTATTAGATTTTATTATGAGTGTTAAATCTTAAGGAAATTTTATCGATATATTTTAAATTTGAGTTCCCAGTGCTAAGCAGCAAAAGCTTGATTTGAATATATTATTTCTCATTATTTACCAGCCGATACCCATAAGCTATTACGCAGCTTAAACAATAAAAAATTGGCTCCTCTATGTGTAAGCCCTTAAGTTGTATGAAGGGAGAGAGTCTAGTGGTCTTAGATCCGTAATAATATCTTACGGCCACTGACGTCTAAATTGTATGGCGCTTGTCGATATGGCTTAAGCTTGCCGTTTCGATTTTCATATTACTAGAGACCTCATTTTTGATTCATACAATTAATAAGGAACTTTCGTTGATGAACTATGTTTGATACGATTTATAACACAATGTTCCTATATATTTGAGCACTGTATTATTATCCATTTGATTTATAGCAATTGTTCTTTTGTGGCCAAACAAAACGCTGCAGCATAATGCAGTCATGATGAGAGCTCAATCAAGCCATGCTTAATCGAGCTATCTTAAAACAATAAAACATCATGGCTTGTAGTAATCGAACATTTTGACGTCACCAAATATTAATTTCATATCTGTGACTTTTTTTTTAGCACGTCCTCTATTTTTCATCGTTCTTTCCATACATTTCTTGCACTTACAGTACGGAACATGTTCAAAATACGAGAAAGAAAAGGGGCGGGATATCCGACTCTCAAGAAACGAAAAGTCTGGACGTCTGCTACGAGCAACAGCGAGTGCATTCACGTAGGCTTCGCGCCATGCATCACGTGATTGATCATTAATATTTTTAACTGGATCATTTGAGTCGTTTATTAAATGTAAAGTTCCGTCAGAACTTTCACTTGAATCATCTGTGTCCGTTAGTTCCGTGTCACTATCTGATGTTAATCCACTTGTTTTTGATTTTGTTTCTTCTGAAGTGTTATCAAGACCGGTATCTGCCAACCCGTTTTCTCTGCTCTCCTCGGTAACTTTTGAAGAAAGCGAGTCTAAAACTTGTGTAGAGCTTGATTTTACAATTGTTGGGCTATCTTTGTTATGTGTTTTCAGATTTGAACTATCATCATTCCCAGTTTTTAAACCATTTCTAGTGTATATAACCACTGGTTTTTTAACCGATGACTTAGATTTGTCATCATTATTTTCTCTTCTAATTGTTTCATTAAAATGACCTGACGTTGGTAGATTACCGATATCAGTGCATTTCCGATGTGTATATCGAAATGCCGGTCCATTCGTTTTCCTGACCTTGGTTTTGTTGTTCATCGTTGTTCTTGAAATATTGGGTAGTTTGACACCATTCTGCGCGACAGTTCGTTCATTACTAACTTTGAACATTGCGTTGCTTTCATCTCCTCTGAATTGCAGTTGCCTGAAGTCTATATGAAGCTCTGAGTTATCTTTATAAGTTCTTTTTATATCACCATTTGTTATTAGCTCACTCTGGTCGCATTCGTAACTCAGATCAGGTTGAATATTCTTAGCTGATTCTGATGTCAATGTCTTGTTATATTGTAGTTCCGTTGTCGGTGTTTCTGATTCCGACGGTATGGATCTATTACAGAAAGACCGAACATTCAATTTCGTTAAACCTTTTGAGTTGTAAACTTTCCATGTTTCGTCAACTAAAGAAGAACTATTTGGCAATTTTGGTAGGAAATTTGCAACGCCATTTGAAATACTGTGAGATGAGAGTCTATGTGCTATATTTTTGCATGCACATGCTCTTTGATCCACTCTCCCTGATGCACCAGGAGGTTCCCTTGGATGAATGGGTGGAAATGTCTTACAAACGTTCACTGCTTCGTCATGCCTCTTAGTGTGGTACTTATCATAGAGATGTTTAATACCGTTGATGTCCGGTAAGGACACGTTTTGAGAGTCTGAACTGAAGTTCATGACACCATCAGCGTTGTTGCTAACCAACGGCCGCCGTGATCGATTCAACAAATAATTGTACTTGATATTATTGTAATAGCTGCTGTGATAAAGACTCGTTGTTGGGATCGAATGATATCTCTGTGTTAAGAGAAAGAAAAGAAGAAAATAAACAATATCTTATATTGCAAGCCGAAGTCTAGGCCTTTGTGCATGGCTATGGATTAATATGATGCAAATTACTAAACCCGATCACAAATACTGTACGCAACAATCGACAGTTTCATAAATTGTATGAAGACTTGAAGTCTGTCGTTCAACTGATACAGTTACTGTTGTTATCAAGTGTAGAATATTAATGCTGTCACACTGATTTAAATTAGGGAACTTTGATTACACGACGACGGTAAAACGTAATGACCCAAGACTCATTTGCGCATGCGGGAAAGTTGGGGTCTAGTTGTCGTCTTAAATCGGGACGGGGTTTGGCATGTCTATAATAAATATTTCATATAAATTATATTATATATATTATATATAATAATGAATAAATGTAGTTGGCAATACTAGCAACGTACAGTGCTCGATACACGTGATAATGTAGAGCGTAAATATTGAAAATGTAGAGCTTGTAGAACTTGGTACTGTATAATCACATACCGGTACTGTTTCATGCTAATGCAAACTTCAGGAGTGAGAGAATACAAGGATACTCACACAATCCTTGTATCTCTCACTCCTGAAGATTGCATTAGCAAGTTGTATATTTTCAATATTATATATAATATAGGTCTATATATAATATATGTATTATATATAGGCCAATATTATATATACATACAGGCCCTATATATATATATATATACTGTCTCTTATACATATATATATATATATATATATATATATATATAGTATATACACACCAAAATGAGCTATAAAGAGGGCATATCATACCGTATTGATTTATTGCCATGCATCAAGGACTAGTGCTGTCTGACTACACATGCGCACGAGTGTAAAGACTTAGATGCTTAATCGGATTTGAATTCCCAACAAAGCCTCAAATGCCCAGTTGGTTAAGGCGCCTGCCTATACAGCAGAAGGTTCCGGGTTCGAACCTCGATTGGGGGATCTATTTTCTTTGACGTGCAAAATTATTTATATATATATTATATTTATAGCATTACCGCAATACAGTTTATTTCTACCCTAGACCTATTACTATAATTATACAATATAACAATATTATTTATAATTACCAGAGACGTGGCCTGCATCATAGCTGCCACTCTTCGCTGATCGTGGCGCACTTCAGATAATTTTAAAGGTAACTGCATCATCTGCTTTTACTTCTAGGCATGTTCTTAGGCCTTCTGAAAGGAACACACTTCATCCTCCAAAGTATTTACAAAGCAACATCATTTCTGAATAAGAAAAGAAAAAACACAAAAACAAAAAAGCCGTCACAATCATTGTTCAATTGGCGTATATACCTAAATAATCCTAAGATTCTTAATGCAGGAGATATACCGGTATGCCTTTCTGGCTAGCATTTCGAAATTCAAAACGAGAGAATTATCGCGATATCGATAACTGGCTGCGTGTGTTCATAGAGATTAGTTTACAAATTACGATGCTTCTCTCTCTGGTTTCAAGCACAGACTAATTAACATGTAATGCATAAAGGAAAACAAAATTATCGCGATATCGATAACTGGCTGCGTGTGTTCATAAAGATTAGTTTACAAATTACGATGCTTCGCCCACTGGTTTCAAGCACAGACTAATTAACATGTAATGCATAAAGGAAAACAAACTAAGACTACCGAAGGGAAATTGAAATTTAATCCATAGTCAATAATAAATTACTTATTATATTCGAGAATGGAAATCATGAGATGTTAATAATAATACTACCACCTAATCAGGTGCTTTGATCACTTGATTATATTTTCTGGTCCTGAGTTTTTTCTTCCGGAAATTAACATTTTTTTTTTCAGTGCACTGGCTTCTGATAAGATGTTAGGAAAAATTTTTTGTAAATTAGATCGATATTGTACAGATCTGTTGAATAACGTAGCATAGCGTATGGAGAGACCAGCATTTTAGTTATGTTTTAGCCAGAAATGAATTTGAAAAAGCTGTTCTTGAAGAAATTTTGGATTTGATTCCACGCATGCCACTTTTCAATATTGAGAGAATATTAATTTGTTATAATAATAATGATAGTAATAATAATAATATTAACAATAATAATATATGCGTGTTTACTATAATTAATAACAATAATAATAATAATAATAATAATAATAATAATAATAATAATAATAATAATAATAATAATAATAATAATAATAATAATAATAACAATTTAGGTTAACTTAATTATTCCTAATTCGTATACATCCATCTCTAATTTCCTTACTGGCATTCTTTTTACTTTCTTTTCAAATAACGTAAGCTTTTGTCTTTCCTCAATATTTTGAGTTTCACTGCGAAACAAATAATACTTACCAGATTCAAATTAAAGTACAGTAAGTTAGACTACATAAAAAAAGGATATACTCTATATGTCAGTCATTAACATAGATCTGATTTAAATCACTTCATAACAACTCCTGAACTTATCAGACTACAGTGAAGTAACCTAATTAGCCCACACACCACACGCCACAATTCTGAACATTGTGCAATGATAACAAAGTGAATATTCGTTTACCGGCTATTCCTCGAATTTCTCACTAAAACATCACAGATAATACAGTATGAAGGACAAACAGCACTAACAAATAATACATTGTTAGCAAATAGGCGCTAGAGTTCAAACACTGATAAAAAATAAAGTCCATACCGGAACCAAGTCCAATTTCGATGTCTATTTCGCTAGAGACGTACGGTACAATCTATAATCTGAGAGAGGTAATCGATAGATGCGGGTTAAGTCAATTCGTTTCTCCACCCTCAGCTGGTGATTTTGAAGGCCACTACGAGGGTTAGACATAGAATTTCCGTCAATTGCAATCGATATTAGCTGTGTCCTACGAGTGTTGCCTTGTACTTTATTGTTTAATAAGGCACCAGAATAACTCCCTATAGGCATATTATAACCTATCAGTATACTTAATAATGAAACGTTATTGATCAGAGCATTCGAAACAAAAATCCCTGATTCTAATTTTATCGATTGCGCCTCAGCAATACAATCTGTACTCTGAGAGATTTTTACTAAATGGGGTCCAAAATTGTTTGTCTTTCGGATTAGTGTTTATTTTGTGGAAGTTTTAAATTACCGATTATATCGGCCTACTTATAGGTTGCCAATAAAGTCAAAAGCTCTTGTATCTTTTTTTAGGTTATTAGCCATATAATTCAAACCAGGGAACGAGTGAAATTTCACTGTTCCCTGATTCAAAACTATGAACAAAGCAACAAAGAGCTATGAATAAGCAATAGTGCATTATAGTTGTATTCATTATTCATAGCATAAATAATAAGCATATTGTTGTCACGTCCAGCAGTAAATAATCGCTAATTATAAGACGGAACGATGCTCTATACTGAGTCTAAGTCTCTTTATAATGAGACTTCGATTTTTTGTCGTGTAAACACACGATATTCGAAATTTTAAGCACTACAATAAGCCAACTCGCATTATGCTCTTTGTCTCTTTTTATTTATTGCTTGTTATTGAAAGATTTGAGCAATTTAAGCATCGCTCCACTGTTAGTTTAGTGACAAAACGGAGGGGGTGGGTTCACGTGCCCCTACTGGATCCACGCCTGGTATATGTTTGTCTTATGAAACTTAAAAGGTAATTAAGGTTGTTATTTTCATATCCGTTGGCGATGTGTCTTTTAATAATTAAATAAAGTAAAAAGAGAAAAATTCGAATTTTATCTTCGGACGAGAAAATTCAGCCATCTTGCAACGATACATTTTCCAGTAATATTTAATTTGGCTTTTCACTGAATTCTCGTACGTTATGTTCACATTTGTTAATGTTTGAATAAAATACGAAATACAAGATAATAGTAAATTATGCCTACGTGAACAATCTCGTAAATATCTAAATTACCGTACGAAATAATTGATCTTCCAATATGCGTATTAAGGAGATCAAACAACCGGCAAAATAGAACTCAAAGTCGAAAAAACCCCGATTTATTCTACAAACCTGCATTTATGACTTGTGATGTCAACAACTGAACCTGCTTATGGTGTCCGTGAATCAAAATCGCGAAAGAGTGGATTTATTCTACATACCTGCAAACAATATCACCGAAGTTCCTCGTTGCGTGGAAGAGTTTCATTGCAAATAGTAGGCCCTATACGCACATTAATATTGTTCACAGCAGAACGAAATGAGAACACCAATCGCAACATAAGACTTAGACTTTTAAGATCGAATAAAATGCAACAAACCGATATATAAGTTACCAAGAAAGAATAACCATCGTCATGAATTGAGTTGACGGTGCCCTTTGGACGCATGTACACTTGAAATGGCTATCTCATTAACATTATAGACCTTGGTATCTTTCGTTACAAGACTCATACAGCCATAGTTTTGATTACATATTCAGTTCTTTTATTTATATAAACGATTATACTGTATTTGTGGTAAAATTGGTAAACACTCAACATGCCACTCATCCAATCCAATAAGCTCAAATGGCCCCATTTTATTTAAATTCATTTTTATACTACAGTTGTTTGGGCACAAATACAAATCATGATAATTTCAATACAAACAATAATAGGCCTACTTCCAATGAGTCATAGATTGACACATTTTTTGCTGAAAAGTATTAATTATTTTGAGTCTATTAATTATTATGAGTAATTAATTAGCCTATAAATATAAAGAAAAATCTCTCAATTTTTTTGGAAACAGTGCTCGATGCCACTGTAGAATCATGGTATAGAGCAAATATAAAAAAGGTAAACAACGATACGGTACCGGTACGTGTTTAAATTTTCGACTATTGCAGTTTCATGCAATGTGCAATCTTCAGTACTGAGTGAATGAGCTGTAGGATTGGTATATATAGGTGGTGTGCAAAAAGTCAGAGTTTTGATTACATACGGTATTCAGAAATTTATTGTTATGATTCTAATAATTATTATGAGTTTATTAATTATCTGTTAACTGTTATTTGTTTAATTTAGAATAAGAAATAATACAATCAAGTTTAATATACAGGTACGCCACCTCTAATACTCTATCAAACAACATGAAGCGCAACACAACAGCACAAAGAAGAGAACTATCTTTACGAAATGTTTGTTTTAACTACGGTAATTTAATTCACAATTCATAATTATTTTACAATGTTTACATGTTTCTTGAAACAAAGACATGAAAACAATTAAATGAAAACAATTAAAATAATGTTTATATGTATTGAATTATGACATTCTACCTGTGGTAGGGATTCCCAAAAATTCAGTAGAGAAAGAAATTGCCCATAACTGAATATTAATGAAATTAACAATACTGTACACCATTATTAAAAATATTTAGTAACATAAATATAAATAATAATGAAAACAAAATAAAAAAAAAAAAAAAACACAAAAT